AGAAGCTTCACAAACAATTAGCCAGACTCAGAAAACCTGTCAGAAAGGTTTTATGCCGCAATCTTACAAATAATCCTCTCCGAGCTGAAGCATCAATAGCCTCGCGACCTCCTAAGTGACAGTGAATAACAGTGAATGAGGCTGCTTATATAAAGGAGAGCTAATGAAAAGTTCCTTTCTTTCTGTTTTACGTATATGTTTTGCGTTAATTTTTTTGTTTTCTTTTTGTTTTACGCTGGAAATTAAGCCCAAATATTGACGCATATGAAAGTAAATATAGAAGAGAAAAAATTTAATTTTGAAAAGGGTAGTGGATTAATGCGTTCAGTGTCTTGTATCGGTCTGGTCCCACTTCAGAGCCACAAAAAATTCGCACCTCTAGTCGGTTTCCTTTCTTTATAAATAAAATACATTATTTAAAATGTATATTAGATTACTTGTATTGTTATAAATTCATAATCAATTTTTACCTACAATTTTATTTTATATAAAAGACACAAGGTCATTCAAAATATGTGTTCCATTAGTTTTATTATTATTATTATTTATTTGTTTGACAAGATATTTTCTAACAATAAGAAATTTGCATACATATGTGTTTTTGAGGGAAAGTGGCGGGGCCCTATGCATATCCTCTTTTGCATATCTCCATTTGTGTACCATACCTCCTGAAAAATATTATTGTCGATGTTGATGGGAAAATGTTCACGAAAAACCCATTAACTTTTACTATAGCAAATCCTTTGCGTTAACAAATCGTTACAGTATTGTTCAGAAACTGGAAGAACTAATTATTAATTTTAAGAAGAATAACAGTTATAACAAATGTCAGCCAAAATATGTAGTAATTTAGTAAGTTGGTCTAATATAGTACATGAATATTTAGTTTAAAATAAATAAATAAGTTAGTTTAAATAATTATAAATAAGTTAGTTTAACAGATTAGTAACAAATTGACAAATTAACAAGTTAACAGTGTAATAAATTAACAAATCAGTAGGTTAGTGGTTAAATATTTTCATAAGTTATTAAGTAACAGTTAAATAAGTGAGAAGGTTGAGATTCTGGAGGATAAAATATGTTTTATTCTCCTGTGCTTCCAAGATCTGAGATAATCATATGTGCCGATTGAAGCACATACGGAGTTTTCGCTGTAGGCTTTTTGAGAAAAAAAATTTTGGGTCCTGAATTTTAATTCCACCTTAATCCATGGCATTTGAACTAAAGCATGCAGGTCTGTGAGCCTTGTGTAACGTGGGGACGAGGTGGCTAGTCCAGACTAGGTTCCATTAGTTAATTTTTACTGTGTACAGCTAGTATCTAGCTAATTTCTACTCCGACGGCAAGAATGGTTACGTTTTCTTTTATAATATAAATATTCAAGCAAATATACATTTTTTATTAATTACATGAAGAAAAAATTTATCTTTTTAAAAGGTAAACTCAGTTATGGCTAAGGGAAACCATATTATCCAATATTTTCTAACGTTTTTATATAAAACATATTGTTTATTGATGTTCAAACATTTTAATTTTGTTGTTTCAAATATTACATAAAAGGTGTTGTCCGGTTTGATTCGCGTCCAACTATGCTGGACTAATTCACTCCCGAGCTCACAAGCGTAGAATTCGGATGAAGTATGAGAACAAAATATTTTAAACTTTTTTAATACTTGTTTCAGAAATGAAGGATAATCCAAAGTTGAGCATGCTGTTCTTGACGTTGGCGGCGTACAATTTCAATTTTTTTTCTTTCATACAGTACGTATAAGGACATAATTATGTGCAGCGGTAAGCACAATCAGTCCGACTTCGAAAAATATCACTCAGTATGAAAAGACAAAAAAGATTTCCGCCAGCGGCAGGTACGTTGGTTGGAACTGCCACAGAACCTTCAAGAAAATTCTCGGAAGTTACAACAACAAGGTCGTAAATGTAAATTTTAGTATTATCTATTGGTGAACAGTAATCGTGGATCCTGCTTGCAATAACACGGTACTTCTGTACCTGGCACGGAAGAATGATTTTTAACGATATTAAGCTGGAAGGCATGAACGCACGTTGTTGAAATGTTTCTTCTTCGTAAATTGTCTCGTAATTTCCAAGCCAATTACAAGTGGTTAATACTGCTCTTTCTGATACAACTACTCCTGAACAATTTTTTTCAAGGCGGAATTGTGAATAAAGGGGACAGCTTTCTTGTACTGACGCACGTCTGGAGTGGCAACGGTTTGTAACAAATAGAGAGCAACTTTAGAAATTAAATGACACTTTTTTTAAATAACTCTATTCATTCTGTTGTACTTAATTGACAATATGATATTTAAGTAACATATGCCATTTAATGTCGCAACTTATATATTTTAGATATTCTTGATAAAAAATAATTGCTAAATTTATTTTTTATAATAAGATTCGCCTCAAATTTATTTTTTGAATCAGTTGAGGTTTCTGCTCATGAAATTATAAAACAATAGTTTAAAAAAACTTACAGTAATAAATTGAAATTCAAAAGAATTGTTATACAGTTGTATAAAAACATAATTGTTTTACATTAAAGGCTTTTGAAGAGTAAATAAAAATCATTTTATACTTGTATTTCATCTACCAGAATTACTGATATATATGTATATAACCTTCTAAATTCCTTATGTCTTCTCACGTCTGCGTACTAATCAGCAGCAAAAAGACGTTTGTCCAATCATCTGGCGTACCCCCAATTTATACTATTTATCCGAATCTCGTAACGAATTATCGTCTAGATTTTTCCAGACTTAGACTTCCACTGATCAACAGTGATTCAGAGTAGTCGACCAGTTATCCTCCTCACTAGAAAACAAACAATACTGCTCAGCCGTATTTCTGGACGTTACGGAAGCATTTGACCGAGGGTGGTACTCCGGCCTCCTTATAAGTTAAAACGTATCCTCCCTCATACTATCGTCTTATCCCGACGTTCTACCTCAGGATCGATGGTTTAAAGTAAGTAATTCAAAACGGGCTATTCACACGTAAGAATGAGTATAACACAACCTTCGCCTACCACACCGCAATCTTATCAGCACACACTCATCCTATCCTAGCTACAGAAGCTCCAGGGTTCCAACATCTGAACCTTATTACCGACTATTGCACTCGGTGGAGGATCAAGGTGAATAAGCCAAAGTTACGTTTATGCTCAAACGTCAAACCTGCCCACCAGTGAACATTAACAACGAGATAATACCGTCATCAATCCAAGTCCGCTACTTTGGGATTTACTTAGATAGCAGACTTACATGGAACCTACAAGATTTGAACGACAAGAACTTTACAAAAGATATGGACAACTCAAAAACTTACTAGGACCAAAATCAACACTAAGCACGGATAACAAGTTAACCATTTAAAAAAAATTCATCACACGTATTTGGACTTTCGGAGTCGAACTGTGGGACTCTGCCAAATCCAAGTATTGTATAAGACATGTTTCTTTTAACAAACGTAACATTTCCCATATGTTGAAAAATTGAAACAATTTATGGTTTAAGTTTACTTCTTTAATTTCCACTCAAGGTCAACTCCTTTAAATTGAAAAAGTGGGAAATTAAAAATAATAAATATTTGTTAAAACTACAAGGATTGGTCTGAAATTTTCTTGGATAATAGAAAAATTTAAACGAGAAGCATTTTGGAACTTGCCTGAATGCTTGAATTATAATTGTTTAACTTGGAATGTATAAAGGATTTGTATTTTATATTTATAAAATCAATGTTTTAAAAATCAATTATATATTTTTTGTGCTACGTCAAAATCAAATAACTTGTGAGAAACGTAATGACTATCACTGAAGGTAGGTTCCCGTAGAGATTTGTCTCCATCTAAATTAGTAAAAATTTTGTCGCCCGGTAAACACCGCGTCCAGCTTAAATAAAATGTTTCACTTAAAATGCCACAAATGTATGATTTTGTAAGTTCAGAGTGACAAAAGACAGGATTTCCCAGATTCATATTGCGAAAGTCACCGTCTTGTGCTTCCACAACGAAGGATAAACCGAAGTTTTCTAGGCTGTACGCCACTTCATCATGGCACTCTTTTAGGTGACTGTCTTCTTCGCAGACCTATATTCTACAAACTGAACTGATTTGGCAATGAACCACTTCCTGATCTGACAGATTTCTATATAGCTATACAATTTTCGCAACGTATATTTTGTACCTATAGCAATAAATAAAATATGAAAAAACTTGCGATAAAAATGAAAACAATTTATGGCAATAATGTTTTATTTTGTAATTGGGTCTCTGTTCAATAAATTTACGGCAACGTTAGCAGACGCTCCTTCAATACCATTGCAAACGGGAGAAGGAAAAAATTGCTCAGGAGGAATCATAACAGAACGAGCAGTTTTACCCTCAGGTACGTGTCTTGGAAAATTCAAGAAACTTGAAGTTGGAAGGAAAGCTCATTTTTTTATGTTTGCGCCGTACGGTTTAGATTAATTTACAGTTGGAAGTTCCCATTCAGCCAGACATGTTGTTGACTTATGACGATCACATACCGCAACTACACTCTTCAAATGAACACTGTTGAATTGCACAAATTTATCTTTTATTCTATTAAATTTTGATATAGATCAAACAGACAATAAAAGATCAATATTTCTTACGTTTATGTATGGTGGAGCAGCCAGTGTTGATTGCTGTGTTAAAACGATCATCGTCAACATAGTTCGCCCTTTCTTCTTCATTTGTCTTCACTGTTAAAACTACACTAAATTATGTAAATCATATTAACATATGATTTGTTTTACAAGGAAATTACTTCTTTTTATTAATAAATCCCTATGAAACACATGCTGCAATTTTCTTTTGTTTTATTCCACCTGCTGGTCATGAAAGGGGTCAAATGATATACATTGTCTTATGAAAAACGTTCTTAACATAGTTGAATTACAGGAGACCCATTGCAAATGTTTACAAAAAGTTCTGACGGGAAAAACTGCTCAGGAGGAATCATTACAGAACTAACAGTTTTACCCTCACGTACGTGTCTTGGAAAATTCAAGAAACTATAAGATGAAGGAACGTTCACTTTTTGTGTTTGTGCCGTAAGTTTTGAACAAATTACAGATCCAAATGTTAAGAAGGTCAAGCAATTGTAAACCTATCGCAGTTCACGATTACTGGTCTCAAAATTTATAATATTGAGCTTCATTATATACTGGACGAGTCTGCCGTTGAATTCTGTTTCAAGGTCGTTCTATATGTTTGCAGAAGATGAAGTATTTTTTTATTATAATGCTGATTATCTTGTTTCGACAACTGAAGGAAAATTCACAGAATGAAATTACACTATTTTCTACAACATAAACAGAATTATGAGAAAAACCAAAGAAAGACCAAGAACTCAAGACTGCGGTGGATTACCAGCCTGATTACAGTGGGGCAATAAATTTTCATAATAAACGCTGTTCACATATATTTCTTTATTTTATATATTTGATTGGTAAACTTTAATATATATCACAGAACTGAGGAATTAGATTGACGAAAATTTAAAAGTTAACATTATTTCGATCTAATCTGGCATGGAGAATGCTCTGGATACTCAGGGGAGGAAGCGACCTACCGTGTACGTACAAAATTCCACTATTTCACACCTACGTTCTTCGCTTTAAAGTTCTACTTGGTCAACAGGTACTTTATGTTTTATGGATCCTCTCACTATCCTTTGTACAAAGCCAAGGATATTGGTCCGTTACTGCTTATTCTTTTCAATCCCTACACCATTAATCTAACAAACAACAATGATTGTTGATCCACCTCGTTATCCTTCCATCTTCAACTTCGAAACCCTCAGACAGCTACATTTCTTTAGAACAATTGGTCGTTTCGGAATATCGAAGCAGCCTTCACCCTACTAAACCCGATACCAGCAGTATATTGGGTTGAACTTATAACAATATTTTTTTAATAACAAATCCTTTGGGTTAGGATAAGCTAATCCCCCATCCGCAAGTTTCGAGCAGAGCTGGTTGAGACCCGGAAGGACTTTTATCTCAACGTGGTCAAAGACATACATTTTTTTAAATTGTCATTGGCAATTAGATACATATGTCAGTGATCAATTCTATTATTTTTTTAAATTGTAATATAGTTATTTTAAAAGGTTACTGTTTTAATTTATTTGGGTCAGATCCCGATTTTTCTTTTTTTAATTAAATTGTTTGAGTAGTGGCACTAATATTTGTTCATATTTGCTCGAAGTGGAAAGGATCCTCGCAAAGATCGTGACAAACTTCATTGAAAAGATTAAAAAAATAATTTATATCTTAAAAAAAGTTAAATTGGCAATGTTTTTACTAGTGTCTACGAAAGTAGTAGCAATAGCCCTTGTAAGAAAAAATTTGTTAAGTTTTTTTTAGTTTGAAGAGTTTTTGAGGAAACCATATGGAAGTTGACAACCTCACAAAGGCAGCAATTGTGCTTTTCACCAAGAGGAAGAAGTTCATCACCAAATGAACAGAAATAATTACAATGAATTAAGGTTTTTAGTTGAGATAAAAAAGTCAATGGTACGAGAGGGATTCGAACCCGCGATCTTCGGCTTGATACGCCGCTGCTCTACCACTTGAGCTATCGTGACCTCGATCCACTCGGACACCAACTTCTTATCTCAACCGCATCTTTTGAATTTCCCTCCTTAAGTATTAAGTTCACGCGATTACCGTTGTTGGCAATAAAAACTGTCATGATTCATCGATATTGTCTTTTGTTTGTCCAAGGCTTAAGCGAAAACACAATATTTTAAAAATCCAACTGCACTACCGCCAAAACAATACCCCTTTTTGAGTTGTGACACTTTTCTTGTATATATTGACTCTCATTAATTTAAATTAGTTTGTTTTTCTTGCCTCTAACCATACTGGTGGTCAATGAATGACAGTAATGATATTTTCTTTGTGATAGTAACAGCATAGAAACTTGAAAAACAAGCATGAATATCCATTGAGTAACTTTTACTAAGATTAATTTTGACTCAAACGAATATCCTCCTGGAGTCAGGGCTAATTTTTTTCTATCCGTTTTCCTATCCTTTGACGCAGTTCTTCAACTGGGTTTTAATTGGCGTAGGAGCTGTATTTTAAATGCCTCCACAGAAAATAGTCAAGGGGAGTTAAATCGAGTGACCGAGGAGGACATGAGGTCTTATCCACCTATCCAGGAAGTGACGATTCAAATAACGTCTCACCTGCAAAGAATCCATCAAGCCGGAAAATCATTCTTCGTCGTTGATGCAAAGGAACATCATCTAATAATTGTTGGTAAAACCTCCCTCAAAATATTGAGCAACTGAGCACCATTGAAATTATTTTCATAGAAATAACGCCGAATTAATTTGTTACCTACAGTGATGTCATTTATCGTGAGGCCGAATTTTTTATTCACCGAATCCTTGAAAAAATGAATAATCCGGTTTTTAGAATTTTTCGACTTGCTTCACTTTTCTTGTGGGTGTGCGATATATACTTATACAAAGAATGAAAACTATTATTGTTAAAATCTAAATTTCAAATTGTATTTCGAGTACTGTGATTAACAGGACTGTTTAAATTTTTAGTGGTAATAAAATAATAACATATTGCATTAAATAGCATCATATGTGAGAATAAAATATTTTATAATCTGGTAGTCAATTAAATAAACATCAGTGAATTGAGTTAGAAGAATTGTGTAGAAATGAAAAACCCAATATTTTCTGTATTACTTGCTGCCTGGTTGCTGCAAACTGTTCTCACTGAGAACGATACTATTTTCAAAAACGTTTTAACCGTTATTAATTATCTTGCCTTTGAAAAAAATTGTTCAGGTATAATTGTATCACCAAAATCAGTCCTAACCGCTTGTAATTGTCTTGGAAAATTCAAGAAGACGGAGGTTGGAGCAACTGTTCAACAGTTCATTTTTACGCCGTACAGGGCTGCTGATTTGACGATCACAATTCTTGCTTGGAATCACGAGTACGCCGCTGTGGCAATCAAAGTCCACGATTTCTGTTCACCTTTGGCTAATACCAAACTTCTCAACTACGACATTGGGCTTTTATTTTCTGAGAGGTTGTTCAACTATCAATTAGAAATCCCAACAAACGGATATGAGCCTGGAAGTCAATGCTTTCTGCTGTATGACATTGACCAACGAAGATACACCGATTGTGAGTTTCATTGCAAAAGTGGTGCAATTTGTAAAACATCCGCGTGTGATACTGACAGTGAAAAAAGGGAGTGCCTTGCAGACCTAACTTACAGTTTGGAATACTTCGGTTTATCCTTCATTTTGGCAGCAAGTGATAATGACTTTCGCAATATGAATCCGGGAAATCCTGTCTTTTGTTACACTGAAGTTACAAAACCATACATTTGTGGTGTTTTAAGTGAAACTGTTCATTTAAGCTGGTTACGAATTTCACCGGGCGACAATTTTTTTACGAATTTAGCGGAAGGCAAATCCATACACGGTCATCTACCTTCAGTGATACTCATTACTCTTCTCTTAAGTTATTGGGCTTTAGAGTAGCAATAAATACATAAATGTGATTCATTTAACAGTGCGTTTTTTTAATTAATATAAAATACAAACGGTTTGTATACCATGTTACACAATTATGATAATTCAATGAATGATCCATTCTCGATCTTAGCCCGAGTTTCTTTAACGCTTCTCGTTCGAATTTTTCCAATAGGAAAGAAAATTTGAGAGGAATTCTTGTAGTATGACTTTAATGTGTTTTCACTAATCAATAAAGCCTGTTTAAAATAAACTTTTCAAAAAGATTTGACAACCAAGATAACTCATTTTAGTATTATGGGACGTATTTTTTAAAGAAAATTTTAATCCTTCCATGTGTTATATTAGTTTATTGCTAATTGTTTTATGAAGCAGTATACACTTCTTACTGCAGTGTAATAATATGTATACTTATTTCAGAACATTATAAAAAATTATAAAATGATTTGCGTTTACTCTTCAACAGCTTTTTCTGTAAAAAGACGATATTTCTATTCAACTGCAAAAGTTTGTCAGTAAAAACCGTTTGAAACAATTAATTACAAAAGATTTTTTTACCCATAGTTTTATAATTTATTGAGCAGAAACCCCCAAGGATTTAAATAAAATATATATCAGTTGAATATTAATAAAATAAATTTAGCAATTTTTTTTACAAAGATGTCTAAAATATCTAGTTGCGATATCATGATATTTTACTAAAGTTCCATACTGCATTAATTAACATATGTTATTTACATATCATTTTATTAATTAAATATACATAAGACAAAAAAAATGTTTCATTTAATACTTGCTCTTCACTGCTACAAACGTTGTCACCCTAGAATTGCAGCAAAACATAAAAGCTGTCGCCTATATTCAGGATATTCATATAATTCAGAAAGAGCATTGCACCGATCTGTAACTGTTATCGAAATTTGAATAAACTTGACGAGGAAGGAACATTTCAATATTTTACTTCAAGCTGTCCAAAGATGTAAAATAATTGACAATCACGCTTTGGATGCCGGAACAGAAGTACCATGTTATTGCACGTGGTACTGACGATAACTGTTCAGCAATAGATACTACTCAAATTTACACCTGCGACCTTGACCTTATATCTTATAAAAGTTCGCTTAACCACAGGCCTGTACATCAAAAGTAAATATAAATTTAATAAAATATTTATATAAATGAATAATTAAAAAAGAAAAAGGATAATGTTAATAGGAATTTTATTGACAAATATATACATTATATACCTTGGTTTATTGGAGATGAAATGTCCTAAATGTCGGGGCTTAAGCAACCTCCAACTTTTGTGTGTAACCTTATCCCAAATGTGTTGCCAAATCTAGTTTCGACACTTTGCCCCTCAAATCCTGGTTGGATCTATAGCTTCTGTATATATTCACATAATCCAACAATAGCGTCTATAGGCAATAAGTTAAAAAATAAAAAGTCATCTAATATAAATAAAACATACATTCTATAAAAAAAGAAAAAAGTTAAGTTCTGGCAAAAGTAAACAAAGTCAGTAAAAGGTTTTAATTCAATAATTTTGTACATTGGAGACAATATTTTTTTAAACAATTAATATCGCATATAATGTCTTCTGTTAGCTAAAACCTCCGTGCACTTGTTAGGTATACAGTATGAGAAGTATTTTTGCCTAAATTTTTTGGGGGATAGAAGGGGGGTTGGTCGGATTTTCGGTATCACCCATATCCCTAATGTTATTTTAACTTGTAACAAACGGCTATTAATCCTGTGGATCTATTTTCTAGCTTTTGTACGTGTGTGTAATCCGTGTCGCATGAACTTGGACCTCTGAATTACGTTCGACCCGTTTCTGCGAGATTTTCGACGTTGAATATTTTAAGATTAAAAAAAATTCCTTGTAGTAATTATATTACATAAAATTAAAG